CCTAAAGTAAATTTCCCATGACTTTACGGCACCTACATGTGTAGAATTGATCAGACTTTTAGGGCTAAATATGAAATGTGAACTCTTTCCACTCACCTTATGGTTTGGGATTATAGTTTTTATAACATTCAAAATCCTGTCAGTGCATTTATTGTCGTCTCTTTTAAACAAAAAGGCGCAGACGTTCAGAAATAATCATAATAACCTCATGAGAACTTCACAGAACGCGTAGTAGTTTTCAATTTCCGTGACTTTTCCAGGATTTCCATGGCTGCAGGAATGATCTATTGATGTGTCCTTGCGTTAAATTGACTTTTTGGAGCTTTCTACTGTCTTATAATGCCGTCCATGCATGTTTGAGCAATCTAGCGATCTCTCCTGGGTCTTATTCGAACCCTCTTACGGTTAGCAGTAGATTCTGTGCAATGCTCCAACCACGACAATTCTCCTTAAATAAAGCAAAAATATTATACAAAACTGCGCACTACGACTTCACAAACCCGGACGTATGCTTTGTGTTGTGATAGCGCTCTGAAGGGGGAGTGACTCAGAGCGGAGAGCAAGAGGAGGGAGGAATCGGAGCGTCGGAAAACCGCGCGTCCAAGGTTGAGAGTCTGACAGGCTCTAAAAATGATTTGCTCCCCCCAGTTTCAAAACAAAAGCTGCCGATAAAAACCACCTCCTGACACGGGACGCGGATTTGTGGGCTAAATATGACCAAATATGAGCAGACAACGAACATCAACAAAACAGTGAGTCAGTGCGGCTCTGGAGCGTGGACGGAGGAGAGAGACGAAGGAGAGAAGAGAGAGATTTATGAAGTTCAGTGTTTTTCCCAGATGACGACACGTTTTAAAGCTCCTACATGACGCAAAATTGACTCTCGTGAGCTTTAATCCGTGTTAAAATGTTGTTCTAATCTCAAAAACAGACCTGGAGTTTTGTTTTGTTTCATTTACACATTTACACATCGTTTACACATCGTTTATTGTTGCCGTCGACAGTTACTGTTTCAGTGAGCGGTAACTGGATTACAGTTACTTTGTTGAAATAAATGGATTACACAGAGGGATTTTCCTGTTTTCACATTTTGGGCTAAAACCAGGTCTAAAACCAGATCTACCAGACGTTCAACAGCCACACAATTACGATGTCCGAATCCCAAAACTAAAATATGACAGTGAGTGCGTTTACATGCACATCAATAACCCGGTTATTAGCCATATCCCGGTTATGTCAGTATTCATGTTACTGTGTTTACATGGTGCACTGAGAAACCGGGACACTCATATCCACGTGTACATGATCAAATGGAGTATCCCGTTCTTGACATAATTACAAATGCGCAGGCGCAAAAATTAACTTATATCATTCATAAACCGGGAAAAATACAAACCGTGAGCTCCTTTAGCATAAGAAGCTAAGGAGCTACGAGATCTCCCACAATCCACTGTGCAGATTCTCATTAAAATCTTCTGCATAAATAAACTCAACTTTACAACATATAAACCATAAACACTATAGACACATCAGCCCGTTTGATCAGATCATTCAGCTTGATCACATTTGTTTACGTTTTACAGAAACAAAACTTAAGACCGTTGGCTAATTAGCATAAACTGTTACGGCGATAAAAACAACTCGCTCCTTGCGCGCTGATGTTGATCAGTTTCTTTTGGACTAAATGACACGACTCTGTGGATTATGTGGTTATTTCTGTGACAGAAGAGGCTAATGATGGTAAGTGTTTGGTGTGTGTTTTATAGGAGATAGTTCATGTTTTAGCTTTCCACACACACGAGTGCAGATTGTACGTGTGCAGGTTTAGCGCAGCTCTTAATTTTCAGTCATTTCACTCGTTTGGTCACTTTATTTATGTTGGTCAATTTATTTATGTCACTACTGTGTGGTGAAAGGCTGGAAAGTGTCTTTTGGACGCATGCCACTCAATTTATGTTGCAGTAACCGGGATACTGCGTATACTGCCACAAGTAACCCGGTTATTATCGGAATAAACCAGCTACAGAACCTGGTCTAATAAATAATAACCGGGTTACTAACCGGGTTACCCCATTTACATGCACCATGAAGAACCGGGATACTTCAAAAAACCCGATCATAACCGGGTTATTGATGTGCATGTAAACGCACTCAATATCAGAACCAAACAAAAGTGATATGGTTCAAAAGATTTGAAAAGATCGACTTTGATATTAGTCACATCCCACTGGGAAAACAAACATGGCGGTTTGATGCTCTCTTTTTCGGAAAATCCTTCGCAGTATGAATTTATTTCTTTTATTTTTTTATTCTCATTACTGTTTTTTTTAGTACAACCATAAACGATAAACTTTTGTGCCTGCTTCATCATTGTTTTTGAATTTCGTTGTACCTGGCTCAAACAAATAAATAAATGAAATGAACTGCGCGATGACCGGAAGTCTGAAATTCAGAATCGATATATTGCACATAGTATAGACGTGTATATATTCTGTGACATGCTGAGTACACAGATCTTCAACCCCCGGCACGGTACTGTACTACAAAGACAAAGTACTTCACTGTCCAGATCCTGAAGGGATATTTGTAGCTGGACAGACCCAGAGGAGCTGACCCAGGCCTGGAACAACAACAACAACAACAAGAACAAGAACAAGAACAAGAAGAAGAAGAACAGCAGCAGCGTTTTGACTGGTGCTGAGCTAAGACCAACAGAGGAAGAGGAAGAGGAGGAAAGAGGAAGAGGAGGAAGGAGGAGGAAGAGGGATGAAGGGGGATGAGGGGGGAGAAGGGGGGAGGGGCTGGCAGGCTCACAGGGGCCCGGCGAGGGGAGACTGAGCGGGAGCAGGAGCAGCGTCGAGGACAGTGCTGAGCCGACAGTACAGGACTCACACCAACCAGAGGGAAAAGAAACACAAGCCCTGTCAATCTGTGGACCTGGACTGAACCAGGACTAA